TTTGCAGAATTTATATGCAAGACAACTTAGTTTTTCCTTCAATTGAGGGTTCTACATTGCCCCAATCATCAAATTCGATCTCAAACCTTCAATTTAAATTGGTAATATGCTGGCGATTGGGATGGGTGGATGGTGGTGGTCGGTGGTAGGCGGTTGGTTGAAGTGGAGGTGGCGGAAATTGGGTTGCTGATGGTAGAGGTGAGAGTAGAAGAGGATTGCTTTCTTTTTTTATTTTTCAATTTAACAAATGTAATTATTTAATGCGAAAAATAGAAAATTAGTATTTTTTTCCCTTTCCAAAATATTAAACATGTGGTCAAAGTCAATTTTTTAGTCAATTAACGGAATTGTGGAAGGAAACCATCTAATAGGGCCTCCTTCGCAACGATTAAAAATGTTTGTATTGATGATTGCAACAAATTAAAGATTTGAAAAAAGTCTATTAATGTTTTAAAAGAATAGGGCTTTGCTGCAATTGTCTTTTGAATTATTCCCCATTTCCATACGCAAGTTGCTGTACTTTCTGTACCCTATGCCTTGCCACGTGTTGACAATCCATTGGTTGTCACATATATCATATGACTTTTACGACTGAACCTTCCCCAGAGTAAAAGGTTCGCCATATCAAACAAATCCATCACAGTTTCATTGCTTTCATCTCTCTCTAATCGTTCTCTCTCTCTCTCTTAACTCCTGAGTATATCCTAAGCTGACTCGAAGTCTTGGTCCACTGTGATCCAGTTCTCCATGGCTGACAGCGGATCGAATAATCTAGGGTTTTGGTCGGGTATGATTTCAATCTTTTTTTTTTTTTTTTTTATTTTTAATTTTTTTATATTTTTTTAATAAAAAAAATTTTCTTTTTAATTCATACATTCTTTAAACAGTGTACAAAATACATACAAAATTAAACAACGTATATGTTGACTTTCATTTACAACGTTGAAAACTGTCAAACAGAGAAATAATTCAGCACTAAAATTGAAAATAAAGAAAAAAATTAATTATAAGAGCAGCCCACACGTGCCAACTCTCACCGACAATTTATTTATAGACGAGAGAGAGAAACAAGCAGATAACCGGCACTAAAAATCGGCGATTTTTCTGTGGAGCCGATTTTTCTTGTTTCCATTCTCCTCCAGGTTCTTTAAGCTTCGGATCGCCAATATATCGCCGTTTTTAATCTTCAAAATCGTTTCAATCTCATCTTCTGAACCTTCACAACCCAACAAAGAAGAAGAATTACTAAATCTTTATTACAATTCTGAGCTTAACCAAATGGAAATCCAAATTAATTGCAATATATAGCAAGAAATGCTGTCAATGCTATATCAGGAAGTAACTGAGTTATTGTACCTGTGGACTTTGGGAAATGCTTGAACTGAGCCAAATCTGCACCCAAAAACACAGCAAAAAGTAGTAAAGGTGAAAATAAGCAAAAGATGAAGAAAAAAAGAAGTGAAAAACTCAGAAAAGCTAATAAAATTGCTTACCATTTGGAGAAGGGTTGTGGGATGTGAGATAAAGAATGAGGAAGCAAAAGAGTGTTAATATGGGAATAAAGTGAATGTATTTCTCAGGAGATTTGGGATTGAGTTTCAGGGTTTTGTGCTGTGATTTTTCCTCTGTGATTAGGTTTTGGGATTCAGAAGCCAAAGATTCATCTTTGAGTATCTGGAGATGAAGCTTTGAAGCTGGTGAGCCAAGTGACTGTCTGTGCATGTTTGCTGTAGAGAGAGAGAAGAGAGAGTGTTTTAGAGAGAGAGTGTTATGATATGACAGATATATGAAGAAAGTATATAGAAATGGTCCAATTTCTGTAGCTTATGCTTAAAGCTATAGAAACTGATTCCCCCAACGAGGAAAAAGTAAACTTACCTTACTTAAAAGTAGGAGACGTTTGGCTAAAGTCTTGAAAGCAAAAACGTAAGTAACAACTTACCTTAAAAGTTTAATATATATTATTCAACTTTATGTATACTCCATGAACTTTGAATCATTGCATTTATCTTGTCCAAGTTTAAATCTTGTTTCAGTTATATAACTATATTATTCAGCTATCTTACTATCAGAAAAAAAAAGACAAGCGTGGGATTAACGTTTTGATGTAACTCGTCACGTTAATATTGTCGTGTTTGATCAATTAGTCCACCGTTTTAGAAATTCAGGATGATAAAAAGCGTTTGTCACTTGAAAGATGAAAAAATGTCTGTACATGTTTTAGCAATTAATTCAAGTGGATGAAAATATCACACGTGTCGGGTTATATCAATAAATAAACAAAATTTTAATATATGATTTTTGTACAAAAAAAATAAAAAATGGTCAGTTGAGTATACTTGTGGTATAATTGAAACTAACTTTAAAGTTTGACAATAATTTATATAATTAACCATAAGCAAATTTTCGTGTATATTTTGTTGAAGGAAAAGTAAACCCCCCCCCCCCCCCCCCCCCCTTTTTTTAATAAAAGTTACTTAAAAAGTAACTTTGCAAACTTCTATTTGCGTTTGACTAAGCTTAAAAGTTTTTGGTTTTTTGTTTTTTTTTGTTTTTTTCTCCCCTCCTTTAGGCTTAGCCACAAAGAGGACAAGTTCTAGGTCCCCCAATCTTCATTCTAAGCTTTCACACACACACACACACACACACACACACGAGATATTCTTTTCTTTCTTTGTTTTATTTTATTTACATAGATTTATATCTAAATTAAGTTTTTAGTAAGAATATAATTATTTTTAAAAAAATGGGAGGTAATGATCATGCCTGGTACCCCCATTAATCCTGAAATTCAGCCTAAATTTGAGGAATTCGAAGCTGGTAGCAATCACAGGAGTCACCCGACGCTGTTCGAAAAATCGGTCGCCTCCTTGCAGACGTCACCAGAGGAATTTCAGAGGAACTGGATGCTTAATGGGTTGAAACCCATGTCATGGGCTGATGATAGAAGGCTACAACCAAAGGATTTGGGCCGTTTTATGGATATGGGCCAACATATTGATGAAACAAATTCAAAAATTGAAGAAACAAGTTTACTGGTCCATGACCCATGGACAGGATCCGACCCATTGAAAAGCAAAGCCAGTTTAATTAATAGCCAACCGACCAACTTTCTTCATGTAATTTCACGATACAGCCTCAATCCGGCATCTAATTTTTTGGCCAAATTCGTCAAGTTGGCCGGAATCAGACCGTCCGACACGGACAAAGAGTCGATTCCATCTTTCGAAATGCTGACAGAAGCCGAATTCCAGTCCGTGGAACTCACGGGTCAGATTAGGAGTCACGAAGTGGAGATGGTGATTCCGGGTTTGTTGAGTGATTTTGTGGAGACGGGAATAATTAGCCCCCATCAAATTTCATTCATGGTATTAGACGAGAATTTTAAGTTCACTGTTTTTGCGCCTGTGGATGAGGAACTCGTGCAATGGTTAGGGGATTTTTCGAGGGATTCCTCGTTGTTCACAAGGTGCTTGGTGCCTTGCAAAGTGGGTTGGAATGAACTTAATCAAACGGGCCATGGGATTGTATTGCCAAACAATGAGACAGGAGGAATAGTTTGGAAAGTCAATGATAATGAATTTAGATGGGAAGGTGGCTACAAAAGTGGAGGAATTTTTAATACCAACAATTGTGTGGAGGGTGATACGTTAGGATTGTTAATTAATTTGATAGTTCTAAAAGAAAGGGGGTTCATAGGGCTGATTGTTCGTAGTACTATTCAACGTTGTATTTGGATTCAACGGGTTCAATTTTTGGAAAACTCGCGAGGGGGTGCGACCGGGTACGGGGTTTTCATGGACAATATACTAGTGATAAATGGGCCTGCCAACTTTTGCGGGATAAAATATTTTTTCTCTACTCGGTTAATTAGAGTTTGGATATACGAGATTTTTGGAATTGGATTGGATTTTCACCTTGAGGACAAGGTGAAAGTTGGGGGGGCGAGTAATGATAGACCTCCCAACTAGTCATGCAAGTTTGTTACTCCATATTCTAGAGTGTTCCAATCCAGTTAGTTATCAGAGATAATCTGGGGAATAAGGGCGGAAGTAGTAGTATAAATGTAATAGGTGAGGGAATAGAAGGAGGCATTGTTTGAGTGAGTTTTCTATTAAGTTTGGAGGGAACGCAAGCCTCTTGAATTGCCTGTGGGATTGTCAATTGGGTATTCAGTTCAATAAAGAGTTATTTTCCAATTCCAGTTATCTCACTTAGTTCCTCTGTTATATTACAAAATTCTAGTTCCTTGCTCAAAGTTGCTTGAATTCACAGCATCACAGTTGGAATCCTATCACAGTGCTAAGAGGAGGGAACAATTTTGAGTGATGCAACTGGCCAACTATCTTGCTTTTGTGTTTCCTATTAGCTACTGCGTATTGATATTTTGTATTAACGTCAAATATTTTTTGAATTGGAAAATTTGAACTTCAATATTGGATTGTTACATCATCTTGGAATTTGAAAATAGTGAATGTCCTACTTTTGTGTCAGGAATACTGCTTCGCCTTGTGTCCTAGCCTGCATGTTCCTTTCTCTTAGTTTATGAATCTTCATTAATTCATCTCTCTTATAAAATGTTATAAGTTCTTCAAGAAAAAAATTCGTAAAATGTATGATCTTGATTATCGTTTGTTGAGTGTTGAAAGAAGTGGTGGTGCATTATTCCACTTCTTGCATTATACTTAATACTGATGTCCTTAATTGCTGCATTGAAGAATTAGATGTAGTTGGGAAAAGCTGGAAATTTGCCTGCATTGTGGATTGATTTTGTCTGTTTCCAGAATTTGGGTTGATGGAATCATAATCTCCCTCTGCATGTATTTAGGGGTTGTCTGGTAGCACTTAATTGCAAATTTTAAGCAAAAATTTTACCGTTGCTTGCCGTCATTGTGGACTTTCTTCTCACAAAGACTTTCACATGGGATCCACTAACGGTTGAAAAATCCATTATTTTGTCCCCTAAAATCAGGCCCAGACAAGCACTTACTAACCATTAGCTTCAAATTTTGTTCATGAGTAACTTATCTTTTATTTTGCCTGCACCCTTCTTCTCAGGTGGTTCTGTTTTCCTTTTTGATCGGAAGGAATTAAGATACTTCCGGAAGGATGGACATAATTGGAGAAAGAAGAAGGATGGGAAGACTGTTAGGGAAGCCCACGAGAAGCTGAAGGTAACCATGGAATCTATAACTAACTTGAAAGATTTTCCTTTTGATTATCTTTTATAGTAAATTCATGATACAGGTATTGGATCTTTCGTTCAATTATCTGACTGCAACAAATAGTCAGTTGACCCTTTCAGATAAAAACAGAGAAGAAAAGAAAATCCTGTTGGACATTCCCCACATATGGGCTTCATTTATGCATTATCTGTTGATATCATTTTCCTTTAGGTTGGAAGCATTGACATGTTACACTGCTACTATGCACATGGAGAGGACAATGAAAATTTTCAAAGACGCAGCTACTGGATGCTTGAACAGTAAGTGTGGAGACTGATTTGCTTTTAAATTCTGCTTTCGTTTGGCTACATCTCATGTACTATATCGCTACTTTGATTGTGCCATAGTTGTCTGCTCTTTTTACTGTTTTGAAAGCTTATAGATGAAACTAACTGTGTTTGCAACAATTTTTCAATTTTCTAAATCCATGAAAAGTAATAATGAAATCTGCATGTAAAACAAGGCACATAATTAATCTCTATTTATAAAGCTTACTACAATGCTTACTAGCTCAAAATTATGTTCTCGAATATACGAAATAATCATGATACAGATCAAACAGGGAGTTAGATATACTAAGAGCGTGTTTGATTGACATGGAAAATATCACATAGAAAAGAAAATATTTTCCTTCTTTTGAGGAAAACAAAAACCACTTCCATCAAGGAAAACATTTTCCTTAAAAACAAGGAAAATTAGCCATATTTTAAGTTGGAAAATGTTTTCCTTGGAAAAAAATAGCAATCAAACACCCCGAGTAGGAATTTGGATGGAAAATTGATATTTTCTATGGAATATAAATGTAATTAAACAGACCCTAATAGGTAAACTGAATCTACCATTGTTGCTAATGCATAAATTTCTTGGCATTCTTGTTTAAAATTTTTGAGAGTGATGCTGTTGGAATGATTGTCCCTTACATGTTGACCATCCTCTGATATATAGAACATTTGTTTATTTTTATTTTTTAGAAAGTTTCATAAATTCTTGACTTTTTTTTTTTCATCACAATTGTCCATTTTGCTGTCTTTTTTTGGTCTTTTATTGACATTGTATCTGTCGATTTGTTCCAGGAGCCATTGTTGCTAATGCATAAATTTCTTGGCATTCTTGTTTAAAATTTTTGAGAGTGATGCTGTTGGAATGATTGTCCCTTACATGTTGACCATTCTCTGATATATAGAACATTTGTTTATTTTTATTTTTTAGAAAGTTTCATAAATTCTTAACTTTTTTTTTTTTCATCACAATTGTCCATTTTGCTGTCTTTTTTTGGTCTTTTATTGACATTGTATCTGTCGATTTGTTCCAGGAGGTAATTTCAGTCATAAATTTATTTTGGTGTACTACTATTTCAGATTGGGTGTTCTTTCAAATGGAAATTGGAATTTTATTTCTTATCAAGTTGTTTTAAATTGTGCAGGGATCTCATGCACATCGTTTTTGTCCACTACTTGGAAGTCAAGGTTAGATTCTTTTCCACATGAAAGAAGAATTTTTAATCAATCTCTCTCTTCTCCTCAATTTTGACAATGTGTAACCATTTTCAAACACTTAATATTAGCACAGCTCAGTATAAAAGAGAGAGGAAGCTCGTACATCTTCGAGGTGCATTTATAAAGCATGATTCCTGTGACTGCATATAAATTAAGGGTGAAATGATGCATTGCTTCCTTCTCATCTTATCCCTGAACATAGGAGCTCAGTTCCATTTTGTAGTTAATTTAAGAACTACTTTTTGAAGCCAAACAAGCAATTATGTCTGTGAACTGTAATTAAAATTATTTTCCTTTTATTTATGATCTAACAACTAGAGGTACAAAACATGAATCCTTGCAGATTCCTTGAATTAGTGGGTACAAGATAAATTTCGAGTCTAAGAACATAAGGAAGTGCATATTTGGTCCAAGTAATTTTTTTCCCCATTTTCAGGGTAATAAGACGAACACGTGTTATGCTAGAAACAATGAATCATCTGTGTCAAATTCTGAAGATGACAGCTCATCATCTTCTTGCTTCCGTGGAAATTATGACAAAATTGTTTCCGCAAATGCAACCTCATCAAGTCCCATCAGCACCCTGACATCAGCATATGAAAGTAATGAATCTGGTAATTTTTGTGTTTTGTGTTTTAACGGTTACAGTCAATGCAATGTTTCGACTTGACCTTAATACTAATTTCACTAGCCGTGGTAAAAAGCTGTTTAGTAATGTTCTGTGGTTAGAGCTTCATACTGAACCACTCGTGCATCTCGTAATTGCTCAATCTTTCGCCTATGTCAACATACATGCTACATGATTTACTGCAGAGGATATTCTCCAAGTGAATTCCAGATTTGATTCGTATCCAGAGTCACCATTGACAGACGACAGTCACACCACCCATTCAAGTCCTTATGATTCGCTTCCATGCCCAGGTGTCTAATTTTATCCTTTTCCTGATCTTTTTGCTATTCATTCTCATTTGATACACTCTCACTAAACATGAAGACATACTTGAATCGTGCGTGTCTATTGAAAGGAAATCGAAATGTTGCTGCAATGAAATACTCAGCACTTGGGCATAGATATGAAAACTTTGATGGAGGCAATGTCATATGTGGGGCTCAAACAAAACTTGATTTGGAATCATGGGAGGATGTTTTTGGACACTGTACTGCAGGTATTAAAGTATATAGTTAAAATCATCCTTTTAATTTCAGTTAGTGTGAAAACCATTTGAGTAGTGGACTTGACTAATTGCTTGTTCTGGACAGGTGAAACTGCTTACAAACAGGAATCTGGGTGTTCACTGCCAGTCCAAGCAAATTGGCAGGTTGTTAGTTGTTTTACAGTTCCAGACATTCTTACCAGACATCAATAACCAGCATGCCTCTAAATGTTTCTTGACATTTCCAAACATCCTTGAAATATTGAATTAAAAGCTTTACTTATGATGCTCTACACTTGGCAAAGAACTGTTGCCCGGTCATTTCTTTATGTTTATCTTGTAATTCTCACATTTAAAACGTTAAATCTATCAACCAGGAGGCTAGGCTCATGCTAATTATCTACAAGGATTGTTCAATAGCAACATAATGACAGTTACTTCCAAGTTTTGATTCCTCTGCTTTTATCAAATTTTTGTTACAGCACCATCATATTTAATTATCCTAATTCTGCATGATGCTAGTTTGCTGTTTTCCTCTCATCCATTATATTCATCAATTGATTTTGATTCTTCTGTTTGACATTCTATTGAAGACAGTGCATTGCTATTGCATGGATCAAGATGACATAAAATTTGATCTTTAATATAGCTCATGATCATGAAAGTAGTTTGTTCGAGGAAAAGAACACGTTCCTTGTAAATTAGCAGAATATTGTGGAGTTATTATTTACGCGTCTCTTCATGAACAGGAAAATTCAATCGAGCAAAGTAACTTTCAGATGCTGAACTCGCATTCAGATATTTGGAATCTGATGAAGCCACATGTGGAGAATGACATGTCTCCTGTTGTTACAGAAAACTGCTCTTTCTTACTGAAAAAACCTCTGATAAGTGGGTTACAAACGGAAGAAAGCTTGAAGAAAGTTGATAGCTTTTCCCGTTGGGTTGCCAAAGAACTTGGAGAAGCTGATGAATTGCGTATGGAGTCGAGTAATGGAATTTCATGGAGTATTATGGGGGCTGAGGATTATCCCAGTGTGCCAGCTCAACTACAAGAGGATTTGGATGCCCTCAGTCCTTCTCTCTCCCAGGACCAGCTATTTAGCATTATTGATTTTTCACCAAACTGGGCTTACTCAAACTTGGAGACTAAGGTAGTTAACTAAGATGGTTCTACAAACTATATATTACTGTCTGTATGCATTGTTTCTCCAGGAAAAGTTTCTGCATGATATATTTGTTTTTCATCTACTTCAAGCTTTTTGTTTATCCATACTCAATACTGATATTTATGGCTAAATTTTCACACATATAAAGAATTTCAGTAGTTTAATCTTGGGATTTTCTAATTCAATGTTTCACTAGTTGAAGAATCCGCAATTGTGCCTATTTTTGTCATTAATATCTCCTTGTCTTGTAACCAACCACAAAGCAGGTCCTGATATCTGGAACTTTTCTCAAGAGTGAACAAGAAATAGCAAATTGCAGATGGTCAATTATGTTTGGAGAATTGGAGGTCCCAGCAGAGGTTTTACCTGACGGGCTTCTTTGTTGCCATGCCCCACGGCACAAGCCTGGACCTGTCCCTTTCTACATAACTTGTTCTAACAGATTGGCTTGTAGTGAAGTACGAGAATTTGAATATAGGTTTGGACCTAATCAAAAGATTGATGCTGAAGATGAATCTGAAGGAACTTCTGAGATCCAATTCCGTCAACGTTTTGAGAAGTTAATGTCCCTGAATCTTGTCTGCAACACTCACATCTTGGAAAACGATACGGGGAAACAAAATCTAGTCAATAGAATATTTTCTTTGATGGAAAGGGAGAACCACCAAGAGGCGAAGGTGACGTCAGAAAATTATATTTCACAGCCAAAGGTGGCGGGGGAGCTGTTCCTTGAAAAGCAGTTAAAGGAGAAGTTCTATTCTTGGCTTCTCCACAAAGTAACTGAAGATGGCAAAGGGCCAAATGTTTTTGATGAGGGAGGTCAAGGCGCTTTGCATTTAGCAGCTGCTCTTGGTTATAATTGGGCCCTCCTGCCAATTATAGTTTCAGGAGTTAGTATAGATTTTCGTGATGCGAATGGATGGACGGCACTTCATTGGGCTGCATCTTGTGGAAGGTAGAGTGCTCTGACTCGTCCTTTGTAGAATGATGAATACCTTATGGACCTTTTCTTATAGTTAGTCTGCATTTACATATAACACATACTGCTATCTCTGATCAAATTAACTGCAATTAGCCTACTGCTTGTAAAACTTTACTATGCTAGCTTTTTAATATGCCCTGCTTATCAATTCTTTGGAGAAGTTGTTTCTTTTTCTCTTTGTGCAAACCGTTTTGACCACTTAGCTTTAATTGAGGTTTCAGCATTTTGGAATCAAATGGATTCATGTATCCCTGACCTTAACAGAACTTTCATTTATAATATTTTCCACAACTCAGAATTGTTTAAAAAATATTTGAATCGAAAATGTTAGCCAAATTACCGGATCTCATAAAGCCCCTATTTGGTACGTATTCTTTAAATTTCATTTTTTCACGCACTCAATTTTCAACCTCATGTTCTTCTAATGAAATGATTTTCGGACTCCTAACTTTTCTTTACTTTTTAACCACACATTCTCCAAATAAATCACTTTTCACTAAATCTATTTCTCAAAAAATCTACATGAAATATGCCTTTTATCTGCATCACATTATTTTTCCTTTACCCTTCCCCTTCCATTTACTGAAAAAAGTAAAGTAAAAAATGAACTTGAAGCTTTGTATTAACACGTCTTTCTTGTTTACTAGGGAGGACACAGTTGCTTCCCTCATTTCTCTGGGTGCAGCTCCTGGAGTACTAACGGATCCTTCCTCTGAACATCCATTGGGTAGAACTCCTGCAGATCTGGCTTCTGCCAGTGGACACAAGGGAATATCTGGTTTTCTTGCTGAGACTTCCTTGACCACACACCTTACGTCTCTGACGGTGAATGATCCACAAGATTATGATACCTCTGAAGTTTCTGAAGTGAAAGCAATACGGACAGTTTCAGAGCATGTCGCAATTCCAACAACTGAGCAGGATGTGCCAGACATACATTCGCTAAAGGATTCACTTGCTGCTGTCCGTAATGCTACTCAAGCAGCTGCTCGCATTCACCAAATCTTTCGGATTCAGTCGTTCCAGAGGAAACAGTTCAATGAACAGAGCTTTGATGAGCTGGTGACCCCAGAAGAGCATGCTGTTTCACTTGTAGCTGCTAAAACGAGCAGGGTAGGTCAGAATGATGGCACAAACAATGCTGCTGCCTTACACATTCAGAAAAAGTTCCGTGGATGGAAAAAGCGCAAAGAATTTCTTTTAATTCGACAGAAAATTGTTAAAATCCAGGTGCTTCCCTTCTTTCGTTTTAAATGAGCTTGTTACTCTTGCCTTTTCGAATGTAAATGTTTAATGTGGGATGGAATAAGAGTAACTTCGTATTTTTAGTCCAACAAAATTCAAATATATTGTGTTGCATGACTGAATAATTCGACGGTGCACTACAGGGATGGATCTTTTAAGAATATCTTTTTATCTATTGACCAGTCCCCAAGATTGATTGGAACTGTGCTTCTCAGTTCTGATAATAATTATTCCTGAAATCTTGTGAAATTAAAGTAAACCATTTCACTCTTCGTTGATTTATGTCACCTTTGGATATTAACCATTCTAATAATACTGACTGCTTCACCGTTTATTGCTCTAGGCTCACGTAAGGGGGCATCAAGTCAGGAAAAAATATAAACCTATTGTCTGGTCGGTGGGAATTCTGGAGAAGGTGATTTTGCGCTGGAGACGGAAAGGAGCTGGTTTGCGTGGATTTCAACGGGATGGGGTTCTAAAAGGACCCAGCACGCAAGGCTCACTGCAACAGGAAGACGATTACGACTTTCTGAAGGAGGGAAGGAAACAAACTGAAGAAAGGTTGCAAAAAGCACTCGCTAGGGTTAAGTCCATGACTCGGTATCCAGAAGCACGAGCTCAGTACCGTAGATTGCTGACAGCTGCTGAAGGATTACGTGAAACTAAGGTAGCTACTTACATTTGGCTATTTAATTTTCACTGTGATCGTGATAGTTACTGAATTAGGACGCAGAGAAATGTCTCCCATGAGATAATCCTATTTTGAGTTCTTCTATCTCTGTTATCTATTGTCTTGTCAAAATCAATGCATACATATGTTGCTAAACCCAGCTTAAAACTTTTTGATAGCTAACAATTCCTTTCCTCTATTTATTTGGGTTAATTGACAGCACTTCGAAAGTTTCAAATTTTTAAGATTAGGTGATCTAGGTTTTCCAGGCAACCGTCCATATTTTTTGTATCTGTCGTAATTGCAATTGCATTGTAGGGTCGCAATTGAATAGATCGAGCAAGCTCGAATTGACGCAAAATGAAACCTATTAGTACGAAAGTACCATGGAGACTAATTATTCTATTTCCCTCTATGACCGATGATTTCAAGATTTTTTGTATGATATGTTATTCATAGTCGATCCAGGAAAAAACTTTGTTCTAATTTACCTCTCGTTTCCCTCTTCATTGCTTTCAGCAGGATGCTTCGAGTACGAATGAAAACAACCTGGATGATACAATTTTCCCTGACGACGAGCTTATTGATGTTGAAGCTTTGTTGGATGATGATACTTTCATGTCTATGACATTTCAGTGAGCAGAATCCAAGTACACCTATAGAATTTGCATAGCTTTTGTCGTTGCAGAAATAATAGACTGACTGATATTCATTTATATTTTGTATATATTCACAAGCAGCTGCATTGTAGAACGTGTAAAATGACATCATTGGACAATCGGTCCTGGTTTTATCGAATGGTTAGTTATATTTTTCTTGTTATGTGATTGACCATGTTTGATGTCTTATCTAGCATCTAGAGAGTGGGAAAATCTAGTATTGTTTGTAACTACATCACCTGCAGATTGGATGGTCGTCACAAAATTTTTCGTCCTTACCTAATTGTAGGCTATGTATATAACGATTTACACAATAGTTCATATATAAACGATGTGGTGAGATACTATTGGATTAGAATTTCTTCAATCAAATAATTTTTATTTTCGATTCTTTTTGACACTGTAAATTATTATACAACTCTTTATGTATAAGTAACGTTATTCTTGAATTTAGAATTATATAGAGTGATGTGAATCAAGTTAGATTTGGGTGAGGAATTCTCCCCTTTTGCAACCGTTAGCCCTTTCTGAACCTTGAGCCCTCAATTGCATAGCTTTTGTTTGGTGGGGATTAAAATTATTTTTTTGTAGATTTTGATAAAGGATCAATGAAATTTGTAGTTGAAATGTTGTGAACTTTATTAAATATGTGAATAAATTTAATTCTTAACTTTAATTTAGATTAAAATATTAGTTTTAATTTTTACCAAACGGGGCATAAAATAGAAGTGAATTCTTAGGAAACGGATAAAATGTCATCGTTTGGGGTTGGGAGGCGCGGGGGTGAATGAACGAAAAATGTAAAAGGAAAATTAAACGAATATTTCTGGAATATATTATTCCTTCAGCAAAAACCTGAGAAGTTTCGCGCGTCACCCCACTGACTCGATCGCACGAGAGTACCAAATTGAAATTTCTCTCTCCTTAAACCTCTACTTTCTCTATTTGTCGTCTAAAACCCTGTCTCTGGTTCACTCAACCTGAAGCTTCTCTCTATAATTCGCCGACTAATAAAAGGCGATCGAAATTTTATTCCCCGATCCTGATGTCTCAGTTGTCAAAATTAAATGTCTCAAATCCCAAAGTATGGGTGGTGATCGGCGTAGGCGTTGTCGGAGTTTTAATTCTCGCCGAGGTCGGCCGCCGGCGGCTTAATTCCAAAAGCTTAATCAAAGAAGACTTTGGGGCTTTTGTTGAACGCTTCGAACTTCTGCCATTTCCTCAACCCCCTCCTCCGGCCGCTCGCCTCCCCCTAGCTGGCTTCACCTTTGCCATCAGTGACAAGTAAAATAATCTTTCTTTTGCACTATACTTATCTGTATGTACTTCTATACACATATACCTAAAATTTAAATGTCATGGCTAGCTTTTTTTGGTTCAGATGGATTTCGTTTATCTTAAAGCTGTTTTTGTGTTCATTTACTGGTTTTCGAGGGATGTATTTCGCGTTTGTGATAAATGTATTACGAAGCTGCTGTTTTTGTGGATTACTGGAGTTTAAAAGGCAAAAAAAATAAAAAAAAAATAGAAAAAATAAAAAAAAAAATATTTGGCACGATGTCAAATTGTGCAGAGTTATGTATGAAAAAGATTAAGTGGATTGACACTAAAGGTTAAGTGAAGGGAAAAAAAAAAAAAAAAAAAAAATTTAACTGTGGTTTGTTTGGAGCTTGCTTTTAGATATGTTATTTATAGTTACTGACGTATTTTGTTATTTGTTTATTTTTGTGATTTTGTAGTTTTGATGTGAAAGGATATGTGACTGGGTATGGAAGTGCAGATTGGAAGAGAACGCATGAGGCAGCAGGGAAGACAGCAACAGTGGTGACTGCGCTGCTGAAAAATGGCGCAACCTGTGTGGGCAAGACTGTCATGGATGAGCTTGGATTTGGGTATGTACATATACTTTTTCCTTTTTCTGAGATGAGCATTATTTGACTCCAATGACAAATAGAATTAAAGCAAAAGGGCACTAGTAGTTTACTGTTTTAATCAGGCCAGAGCAAAGAACAAGTATTATAGTATAATGGTACAAACTTCAGGGTGTGGTACCTGGCTGTTGAAGGTTGTAATTTGCTCTGGCTGGATGAGAACTATGAGATAATTGCCAACGTTACTTCCGTTTTTCACAAGAGAGAATCAGGTGTGGGGGTTTAACTGGCAGAGTTAAGGGGTAGGTGCTGATGCATTTTTCCAATAATGATCCAGGATGACAGGGGAAAATGTGAATTATGGAACTCCAACTAACCCCCAAAGGCCTTCCAGTATTCCAGGAGGCTCATCTAGTGGATCAGCAGTAGCCGTCGCAGCTGAGCTCGTTGATTTTGCAATTGGTATGGTCTTTTTGTTTTGTTTAAGATGGAAATGCACAATTTGTCCCTGAGAGTTCCGAGTGTATGTTAAATGTTTCTTTGTTTTACCTTCTACTTTTTCTGGCACGTGTGTTTGCCCTTGTGACACTAGTTTAGCATAGCATGTTCTGACCTTCGTCATTATTTTTTCCATTTCTGTCTTATTACAAATGCTTTGGTGGAATGTAATGAATGCTGGTTAGCGGAGCATTCACTTATCAACTTTTCATTCTTATTACGTTGATTATAATTTCAGGTACTGATACTATTGGTTGTATAAGAATGCCAGCATCATTTTGTGGTGTACTTGGGTTCAGACCGTCTCATGGGCTTGTATCTACAATTGGCGTTCTGCCAAATTCACAAAGTTTAGATACAGTTGGTATGTATTTATGATTTTAATGTCTCTATCAATATGGAATGAAAATTTTGATTCCCATTCTAACAATTAGATATATTTTGCTACATTTCATCTCAGTCGAATATTATTATTGTCTGCATGTGCTATCTCAGTTTTCTCACATGAAAGATGTATTTTACTGAGAAGGATGAGTAAAGCTGTCATGTAAATGAGCTGATTCTCATGATTAGAACAGTGAAAAGATTGATACATTTCTTTATTTCTTTACTTTTTGTAGCTTTTATCATTTTACTTTAAAGATGTGTTTTACCAGATTGAACATTCCGCACTTACTTTCCCCTGTTCCTTACAAAATGCAATTAATAAATTGGTTTTGTCATCCAATGTTTTTCTGTCTCAGTAAGTACTCTTTTTTCAGGATGGTTTGCTCGTGAGCCATCTGTTTTGCGTAGTGTGGGACACGTTCTACTTCAGTTAAAACCATTGGAACCTAAGAGGACGAGGAAGTTTGTCGTAGCTGATGATCTTTTCCAGCTTTCCAAGGTTCCCAAGCAGATGACAGTATATGCTGTAAGCAAAGTAACAGAGAAGTTATCCGGCTGTAAGTTGTGATTTTCTTCTCTGCGCAGAGTGTTTGCTGTTTCCAATTTTGATTATTTGATGTAGTCCCAAGGAGCTTCTCTTTGTTTTCATCGTTGTGGTGGTATTTCAAATTTTTACCTGAATAAGTAAAGTTTCAATAGTGATATTTCCTTCATTTCTGATTATGCAGACCAAACACCCTATCACATGAATTTTGGGCAGTACTTTGCTTCTAAAGTGCCCAGTCTAAAAGTCTTCCTGGAAGAATCAACAAACCAGCAAAATGGAATATCTACTTTGAAAGCACTCTCTTTTGCAATGTTTCTACTGCAAAGGTATTACATAAGTACTTGAATATATTTTATCCATTGTTCTGACTGATGCTAACAATCATGCTAGCTTAAATTACTGTGGCTCGCATGGTCCGTGAATTATCTCAAGCCAATTGTATAAATGATGAGCTATGGTTTATCAACTTATGATGTCGAGTTTGAGCATGTTTTTGGAATAGCTTCTTCACTCCTTCCCTCCCAATGAAAAAAGAATAGAAAAATAAGAAAATGTCCTTGTTCTTTTAATGAAGGGATCAATCTTCACCTTCTTTTTGAAACTGAGATATTGGTTTCTTTCTCACCAGCTTATGGGATGTTGCTTTTCAGATACGAATTTAAAACGAATTATGAAGAGTGGATTAAATTGGTCAAACCCAAGTTAGGGCCTGATGTCTCTGATTGTATTCAGGCAGCAACCACCACAACACCTGATAGCATAAAAAATCTATATAAAGTTAGAACAGAAATGCGAGCCGCCCTGCAAAATCTCTTGAAGGTACTGGTTACTATTTTTAATACAATCAAAGCGTCCTTCTTTGCTTTTGGAGAGTGGTGGAGAAGTTCGGGTTATTTTGGAATTGTTTTTGTGAATATCAGAACATCGATTGTTTGGCTTTTGAGTATTATTTCGAAGAAAAAAATTTATTTTGTGAACTTTCACAAGGGCACAATTAAGGGCTAGATGTCTTGCATATAAAAAATCTTTCTATGCCGAACTTTCAAATTTCCTTTTCCATTGCTAATCATTACTGCAGTTTGACATTGTCTTGCTCTCATGCACTGGCGCACTATGTCACAATAATAATGCTTTTAGTTGTTCAAGCCACGTTAGCTATTGAACCTTTGGACTTCCATTCTTGTGGTCTTTGGTGGTCACTGGGTTTGAATTTTGAAGTAAGTTATATTTCTTGAAATGTAGCGTTCATTCATTTCAAAACACTGCTATACCCTGTCTTTCAAATTAAACAATAAAGATATTTTTAAAACCCAGCTGCAGCCATGCAATCCTCCACCTGCTGCTCTCACCATCGCAGTAATTTCAGCTGCAAATTTTTACTCTGGGCTCAATTGCTCTCATCGCTATAATTCCTTTGGCTTCAGAATTTTGATTGGTTAATATTTTTTGGAGCTCTGCAAATCTCCACTATAACTTTAATTATTGCCAACATCAATCTGAATTTATAACCTCCAATGACCTATGGGCGTTCATCTGCTGATGAAGTGGCCCTCCAAAACTAAATATTGTAATCTGAACATAGGTATAGAATATTGAACTCAATGCCAAGGTTGCCAAATCATACAACCGTTTCCTGTAAGCAAACAGAAGGAATGCGTTGTTTTGTTTTTAAGTTGCATTGGATAAGATGACCCTAATCTTAAAATGTAACTTTTATATCGAAATTACTGATAAACATGATTATGATAATTTGAAAAATATGTGTTTTGATTGATAATATATTTTTCTTGTGTTTTTGTATCATCTTTTAATTCATTGTGTTTCATCTAATTTGCCTTTTTCCTTCACTTTTTAAGGATGACGGGATATTAGTAATTCCCACAGTTGCAGATCCTCCACCTAAGCTTCGCTTGAAGAAAGGTCTTGCCGCAGAGTTCCACGATAGAGTATATGCCTTGTTGAATATAGCAACTATGTCTGGAGGTTGTCAGGTAATTTTGTAATGCAAAGTTGTTCTGCTTCTTCTACACGGTTCTCACCGGTTTTGCAACCTAGTTCCAATCTTTCATGAACAAAGTTTACTATTTTTACCTTTCTTTTTATGGCTCTCTTGTTCCCTTCTCTGTGTTCTGTTTTTACCATTATTATCAGTTCTTTCTTTTGGCTTTCTTACGTACAGGTGACTATTCCATTGGGAAAACATGAGGATTCTCCCATCTCTGTATCATTTGTTGCATCCCATGGAACTGATAAGTTCCTACTTGATACTGTTCTAGATATCTATTCATCTCTTCAAGAAGAGGTCAATCTTGCTTCCAAATCTTCACCCTTGCCAGATGCCAATGGCAACATGGAGGCCTCTGAACTATTGAAAGAAAAGGTCCGTCTCTTTAACTTCCTTATTGGTATGATATAACTTCCTTTTGTTGAAAGTTTGTCCTTCAATACTCTTATATTGTCCCAAGTCCTCCTGAAATTTGATGAAACGGTGAAGCATTAATTTACAGTGATAAATCATTACATCAATATTTTAATGCAAACACTAACTTAGTAGCTGCAATGATGGATGGCCATGCTTATCTTTTGTGTGTGCAATGTTGGCTTCAGTGATTCTTTAAGTTATCATCATCTTTAAATATCGATCATTTTCTTTGCTGCAGGGGAATGCTGCATACAAGGGGAAACAGTGGAATAAAGCTGTGACCTACTATACAGAGGCCATAAAATTGAACGAGACAAATGCTACTTACCATTCCAATCGAGCAGCTGCTTACTTGGAGTTGGGATGGTCTGTAACATATGATTTTGTGACTGGTTTTTCCTTTTCCGTTTACTTATCGAAGCCCTTTTTTCTTAATGAATAACCTTTTAACAGCTTCCAGCAAGCTGAAAAGGATTGCACTGAGGCTATATTTCTAGATAAGAAGGTGAGGGGCTGCGATTGTTAATAGTTCTTAAGTTTTTCTTTGGGGTTGTTGAATATTATTGGATAATGGGTTGTTGAATATTAATGGATAATCATTGGCCAAGATTTTGTAATATGTGGTTTGCTGATTCATTGAATGCTAAACTCAGGATTAATGAGCCTAGTGCAGTTTTCACGAGTTTAATTAATTTTGCAAGAAGAGAACATGGAATGCACTAGTGTAGCCTTTCAAAAGCACCCAGCAATCTATCTTAATGATGTTTTAAGAGTCTTTTATTTTCCCATGCAGAACGTGAAGGCATATTTGAGGCGAGGGACAGCCCGGGAATCACTTCTTTTCTATAAGGAGGCTCTTCAAGGTCAGAATAACTTTCTCATTACCTCCACTTATAATGTAATTTAAACATTTATTGCTTTGACTCTTCTATCATTTTACATTCTATCTAAAAGGAGGGTGTCCTTTTGTACAGTTTACCACGTGGAATGTTTTGAATTCAAAACATGGTACTGGAGCACACAACTGTTTTGAATTCAAGTTTGCTGCACTTTCGTATATGTTTTGTGCATTTGATAAAATGTGTATTAGGCCCACAAGGGATGGGCATGTCGAGGACATAATTTGCTAAACAAATTTTTTCCCCTCTCTGAAAATCAAGCATTTAGATAAGACATTTCAGTATGATAAAGCAACAAACCTTTCCTTATTCTCAATAAATTTCAGGGCAGTCCAAACATGTAACATGCCTATTTAATATAATGTAATCTGTGGGTCTTTTTCTTTTAATTGTCCCCTCCTCTCCCCTTCTGTCCATTCCTGCTAATTTTCTTTCTTTAGCTCTCTTATATTCTTTGGTGTAACTTGCAGATTTCAAGCATGCACTTGTACTCGAACCCCAGAATAAGGTTGCAAGTATGGCTGAAAGGAGACTTGGAAAGTTGATCACTTGAAGCTTCTCACTGGCACTTATGTTCCTTAATGAAAACATTTGATCGTGCTATAGTGATACGTTGGAAAACAGATAAAATCAACAAGCATCCATAAATCAAAAATTTGATTCTTTGAAAGAAAACTTGTATAAAAGTGTTATAATTACTAAGATGAGCTCGACATTAGAAATTTTTCCCAAAATCAGTTCGGCTTCTATGTATTCTGTGTATTGAACCGAACCGAACCTTGTTGGCGCCACAGTGAAATTTCCTCATGAAGTACTATTGATTTTTCCCACTTGCTGTAATTTCTTGTGTGCTATTCTTTTTAACTTTCCGACGGGTCTATCCATTTTCCACAGGCCTGCATTTTTCCACTGAGGCGGTCGTGCAGAAAAAATGTGTGAAGTACTGCAGTCTTTTATTGGGTAGACCATGCTTAGCTTGATTATTTTTTCAATTCAATTCTTTCCGATAAGAAGTCATTCAAATGGTCAGCCACGGCATGAACGGCCTCTCCACCGGAGGAATTTTTGGCTCTCAAATGTTTATATAGTTGCATCATAGGTACTGCAATATTTTTAGGGGAATTATAAAAAATGTCACTTTTTTTTATAATCCACAAAAAAATTTGCACGTGCACCTAATTTTATAAAAAATGTCACTTTTTTTTATAATCCACAAAAAAATTTGCACGTGCACCTAATTTTATAAAAAATGTCACTTTTTTAGTGAGAAATGTTCAACTTACACTTCAAAAAAAATAAAAAAAAGGGCAGTTAAGGCGGTTAGTTGCAGTCGCTGGCAAGGAGCACGGCGGCGAGTGCCGCGCCTGCCACAGAGGCAGTGGCGCTAGCAGTCACTGTCCAGAGCAGCGGCGAGCGTCGTTGGTGAACTGCAGCAGCACCCTTCGCCACAGGCTTCGGCCATTATCGACGCTATAAAAGAAAAAAAAAAAATTGTTGTCGGTCTGATTTAGGTGATTGGGCCGCTGCAGAATTGTAGCAGCAGTCGAGCCGGACAGCGACGGCCTCCGGCACAGGCATCGGCCATTGTTGGCGCTGTAAAAGGGCCGATTTGGGTGATTGGAGAAGGGGCCTGTTGTGCAAATTCATAATTTGCAGGCCCCTGCTTGAAAATTATCATATTAGGTATTCAAATAATTTAGAGGGTTAAAAATGTCCTAAATTGACATTTTTTATAGAAAATTTAAAAGGTGACATTTTTGATAATGCACGGCTAAATTTTGACACACAATGAAATTTTCTAATATTTTTACTTGTTACATGTTTGCCTGCATACTATAGTATTCTCTGTTGATTCGTTTGACTCAGTTTTAGAAAGTACTAATAATTGAATTCCATTAAATATTTAATTTGATTATTACTGTATTTAATATATTTGGTCTAAATTTTATTTGAACTTTTGAAGAAACAATATCAGTGTTAAGACTACAACAGTTTAGTGTTTTTAGTAATTTGGTCACTGATTTTTTAGTTTCCGGGTTTGTTCAAATGTTCTTTTATAGCACATTGAATAATGAATTTTTGGAGTAGGAAAAATTTTAAATTTATGTGCAGAATATTTTATTGTTAGAATGTGTTGTTGAAAATGATATTGAAAAAGAAAAAAAAATGTTGTTCACAAACAGGGTCTAAAGAAGAAACTTGTAAAACTTGTGTTCAAATATTTATCCAGGTTTAACTATAAAACAAGCATTGTTTTTTGGAAAATTCAATTTTTACACAAATTCAACATTTTTTCTTACTTTACTTTACATTCTTCAATAAAATACCATTTTAGAATATATTTTAGGGAAAATTGTAGAAGTGGTTTTCAACCTTTTCAATTTTTACAAATTTTATTCAAACATTTATTTTGTGTCACTCACAGTTTCAAATCTTTCAAAAATATGCATCTGAAGTCTAAGTGGATGGATATAATCGTTAGTTGACCAAGAAAAATGGTAGTTTGCATTTTCTCCCATTAAATAAGTTAATAAATAAATAAATAAACCATAAAAAAAAAGAAAAAGAAAATGGGGCATCCTTATCTTTCCCTAGCCCCACCACTCCAAATTGCAGTAGCGTCGGTGGTGGCTGATCATCGTCCGCTGTCCACCGGCCACCACCCCCCTCCACTCCCACCACCTTACTTCGACTCCACTCCACCAAACCCCCATTCCCGCCTCCACCTCCACCTCCACCTCCACCTCCATCCAATCAAAACAAGAAAATCATTCACGACCACCAATACCGATCTCCTCACCATCACCATTGTCGATAACTACACATTTTCAAACTTCAAACTCAATTAAAAAAAATCCAAAAATTGCTCCACCAACCAATTCAAAAAAATCCGAAAATGCCTACATGTGATTTCAACATTAAATTCAACAACCCTACTCGAAAAATCCAAAAAGCTGCTCTAGAGATTGTGAAGAAAACGGAATTTGGTGGGAAAATGGGTGGCTATGAAGAGAACTCTGAACATTCAACAGTGAAACCATTTCTTGAATCTGTAAACTCCCCTTTCTTTGTTTGAGTGCAGAAGATCATGAATGTGTGGGTGACGGTGGTTGCTGCCTTTGGGCCGCGTTGACGACAATATGTAGGTGGTAGTGGTGGCTGGCCTTTGGGTGGCAATGTCGACAATCGATGTGGGTGGGAGTGGGGAGGAGTAGAGTGGGAGGAAGAAGTGTTAATTTTCATTTTTTGATTTTTAATTTTATTTTTAACTTTTTTAATGTGAGAAAAATGCAAATTATCATTTTACTCCTTTCAATTTAGTCAAAATTAGTCAAAGTTCATTTTTCTTGGTCAACTAACGATCAACTATTTGGATTTCATATACATATTTTTGAAATGTTCGTGACTGTGAGTGACACAAAAATGAAGGATAGAATAAAGTTTACAAAAATAAAAAATATTAAAGATCATTGCTGCAATTTTCTCTATATTTTAGCAAAAAAATGGGAATTAGATATAAAAATTCTACTCCATTCGTCTTAATTATATAGGTCGAGTTTCCTTTTTCTCTTATCCCAAATATATATGCCTGTTTCCTAATTTAGAATATTTTATTTTGTTCATTTACCAATACACCTCTATTCAATTTTCTCCACTTAATATGCCAACCTCTCGAAATCATCCAAATACACTCGTTTCCACTTCTTGGAAGCATGTAACAACTTTCATTTCTTCTTATTCAAATTAAATCATTCAAAATCTTTACTAATTCCAACAATAATTTACTACACATATTAAAAATCAAATAGAGATAAATTAGGAAAGATCTTGATAAAAATTAATTTTTTAATAACATCAAAGAAGAATTCTTAATTCACGTGAAACATGAAACAAGCCTACTCTAATCGGGCAAAGTATCCATTTTATCGGGGGTACTTTTAAAATTAATTTGGTCAAATAATCTAAATTTCACATTGACTTCTCAATAAAGGGATATTATGAAAATGTCTTATCCAATGTTAAAAGACAAAAATACCCTTAAATACATTATAAAATTACAAAAGTTAATTTTTTTAAAAGACATGAATACCCATTCACTTAACAAATAAAAGTCAAACACTTCCTACATTTCTTATCTGTTTACTCCAACACAGATAAATAAAACTCTCTCGTCCTTCATCTGCTTCAATTGCAGAAACTCAAAAATTTATTGAAATCGAAAGTCCAAAAATTTGTGGACATCAATCTCGTTGGTTTGGTAAGTTTACACACGCAAAGTTAATCTTGTTTTCGTTAAATTATTGTATGTTTAAATCGATAAATTGTATTTCAACATTTAATGATTAGTAGAAAAAAATGTAATAGATCTGTAATTTTTTAAGTATTTGACCGGAGAAGATTCATCTGCATATTTATGCTGGCGTCGGTGAATCGACAGTTTGACCGGTCAAACAGTCGGTCAAACAGCAAACTGTTTTGACCGACTGTTTGATCGGCTGTTTAACAGCCAGCTGTTTGCCAACTGTTTTCCATTTTCTCCTTTTTTTGGATTATTTTTATTGCTGTTGATATTTTTCTTGTAATTAAAAATTCTGTTTCGACATGTAGATATGGTTGTAGTCCCAGTTTGTTACTTTGGTGATTTCAAATTGGACGAAAGAAATCAATGGATGTGGAAATGGAAATGAACAAGTGATAAACGTGATGGTATCGCAATTTCCATATCATCAGGTACATCGTATACAGAACTCTATAATGATTTACAGAACAAGTTGAATATTGATCGTTTTCAGTACAACATGGAATTGAAATTTAAGTTTAGCTAGCATGCATAAGTTCCGATTCCACCTATAATGATTTTTTCTGTTGATGAAGTGAATTATCTGATTGAACTAAACAATAAGCACACGACTCCTCTTTGCGCGAGTTTAGTAGATTCGGGAGGTGGGGATCACAATGCTAATGATTTTTGGGATACGATGGAGATAGCTCATGAAGATGATGTGGTTATTTCAGAGATAGTTGTACACAGAATCCCCTCCGCAGCTCGTGACAACGAGAATGAAAATGCAAATACTTTTTCAAACGAGGACTTGATTGCTTTATCCCGGTAGCAACATGAGTGGGGTGGGATTTGTATGTCGAGCAACTGTTTGAAAAGAAAAAATATTTGCAATAAGTTGTGCACCTAATTGCACTGAAATACAACTTCGAGTTTAGAGTGAAAAAATCGAATAGGTCGTTGTTGACGCTATCATGCGTAGATGATAGTTGCAGTTGGCGTTTGCGAGCAACGAAGATGGACACAAATGAGTGCTTCGTAATTCGTAAATATACACGAGAACATACTTGTGAAGTGGGAGTTTGTCGTAATGATCACAGACAAGCCTGAGCTTAGTTTATTGGTCGACAGATAATGCACAAGTATCAGGATCTACGGACAATCTACAGACCATCAAACATCATTAACGATGTTCTCGAGAGTACAAAGTAGTCATAAGCTACCAGAAGACCTGGAAGATCAAAGAATGCGTATTGGAGGATTTAATGGGCTCGACAGAGGAAAGCTATGCTAAATTGGCCAGGTATTGATATAACATGGAGAAAACTAATCCTGGCTCAGCATTTTTTATTGAGACGGAGGCCGATAACTGCTTCTAATTCTTCTTTATGGCTCTTGGACAATACATTTGGGGATTTTGAAATGCTATGCGACTCCTAATTCTAGTCGACGGTACAACTCTGAAATCTAAATACCAAGGCAAGTTGATTATTGCTACATGTAAAGATGCTAACATTCAAATTTACCCTCTTGCATTCAGCATAGTTGATAACGAGAA